TTTTTTTTGGTTTCTTGGTGTTTTGTGGTCAATCTCATGTCACTCCTTTGTTGTTGTATTTGTTAAATCTGTTCTTTTGATTTAGATTTCTATATTGTATACAAGAGAATGATTTGAGGAAAAGATTTTAATCGAAGTTTCATTATTTTTCGCAATGCGTAAATTTAAAAGGTTTTACAAGTAGCATTATCTATACATTCCATGGAAGTTGAAAGCATAATAAAAGACTTTTATGGGATAAGTCTTCTTAGTTCTTGTACTTCATGGTTTCTTTCTCAAAACCAATAGTTGGGAACTGTTTAGCGAATTCCTCGACTTCATGGCGCAGCTTCGTAATCTCGGATTGAATGGCTGAAGAAGATTCCATTGCCGACACAAAATCCTTAAGCTTGGTTCCTGGTTTTTACAACACAACAAGTGAGTTTAAAACCATTGTTTACAAGAACCGAAAACATTAGAATCGCAATCAGAGAAAATGAACAAACCTTGAGCTTCAGATTTGACTTTGAGAGCTATATTCACTGCTTTGTCAAAGTATTCAGCTACTTTGGCAAAGTCTTCCTCAACAAATCCTCTGGAAGTAAGAGCAGGAGTACCTGAAAATAACAATGGCAGAGAACTTCAGCGAAAAAACAACTCCGTTCGCGTACCAAAACATAAGCCTAACTATGATTCTTACCCATTCTGATTCCACCAGGAACCATGGCAGAAACATCACCAGGAACAGTGTTTTTGTTGGATGCAATGTGAACAGCTTCCAACACTTTCTCAACTCTAGATCCATCGATTCCCTGCAAACATAATCGAATAAAAAAGAGTTTTAGTTACGATATGATAAAAGAAGATTATATAAATAAGTATAAGCATACAAATAAGATCAAGTGACCTTGGTCTTCAGATTCACTAGAACCAAATGGTTATCAGTTCCACCAGAAACAAGTTCATATCCTCTCTCCACCAGAGTCTACATTAAACAACAATGAAACATTTTAGCGATAAAACATACTTTTTTTTTTTTTGCTTTACGCGATTAGTACCTGAGCAAACTTTGCAGAGTTACTCAGGACTTGCTCTTGGTATGCTTTGTACTCTGCAGTAGTAGCCTGCATTAAACAAACCATTTGAATGTTAAAGTAACCGAAAAATCCAATAAGCACCGTTAGTTCGATTCCATGCCTGTCGATGTACCTGTTTTAAAGCAACAGCTAGTCCTGTAATAGTGTGGTTATGTGGACCACCTTGAAGACCAGGGAAGACAGCTTGATTAATCTTGTCTTCAAAATCATACAAAACCTTTCAAAATAACAAAATGAATTGACATGAAAATGTGTACATAAATTTAAAAACATTTTTGTCCAAATTTGTTGTAATTTTACCTCTTTTCCTTGTTTGTTAATTTCCTTAACACCTTTTCTGAAGAAAATCATGGCTCCACGAGGTCCGCGAAGCGATTTGTGAGTTGTGGTGGTTACAACATCTGCGTAATCGAACGGTGAAGGGATAACACCAGCAGCAACCAAACCACTAATGTGTGCCATATCTGCTAACATTACA